TTTGTTTTGTTGCAATATCACTAGATTATTTTCAGCTCAATTCTAAAAATAACCTCTTTACACCTCTGTTTGCAGAATACTATATAATGAATAATATGATGGAGAAGTACTTCACATTTTGCGATTGAGATTCAGTATCTGTAATATGATTGGCTAACCCTTAACCCTAATTCTAACCTTACCCTTATATGATTGGCTGATGCATCAAATGATTGACACTCTGTCTGTTGGTCACGCCCACTGGTTCTGCAGGTTGCTGTTTACATACTTGGAGTAAATACGGTAAAGAGAGCTGTCGACCTACATTACCGCTACTATCTAGTAAAGGCGCACAGAGACCTTGTGACTGCTCTACACGACACGGAGGGCATTTAACACAGGCTGGGAGATGAATGCTGGACTTTATGTAGCTGCTGAGCTCTTTATTCGGTGCTGTGTGAATTGAAGCAGAAGGTATAAGTTTGTCACAGCTGCTTGGTGAAGACAAGAACAAAAACTTTACTGTTTTAAGTCGATGTTTATAAAAAAAAAAGTTTGTTAGGGTGTGATTTCCTTCACTTCTCCTCGTCAGGCTTTGTTTTTAATTTTTTTGCTACATATTTGTAAAGTCGAGAGGATGAAGACAGATGATGTGAGAAAGAAAACTGCTACTACACACATACTGGTTTGCGGTAAGGTTTTACTCTTTTCTCATCTGTTTTTCTTTCTCTCAGTCACTCTGACTTGGTCAGACTGAACTGTGTACCGAGCCAGAACTGTGTACCGAGTAGCTCCTAGCTGTGTTAGCGAGCCAGAAGTCAATGGAGTGAAAGGGGAATTGACTTTGGTTGAATCCCAAATGGATCCATACTCCCTATTTAAGTGCACTGCACAGGGTATATAATAGAGGCGTTTTACTCCATATATAGTGCACTACATGTCCATTTAAGATTGCGCCTTTGTGCAGGACGCACTGCGAGCTGTTTGTGCGCTGTTACTTTGTTGCTGTTGACGCGTTTCAGCTCAGAATTGTCTGGAAGATGAAATGTGTCCTTGTTCAGCATTAACCGAGGCACTGTTCCGGTTTATTTCAACATTACTTTGTTGAAACTATTGTGTAAATCTGTTTTCCGCTCAGCTCAAACCCAACACAAACGCTGCATCACTGCTAATTCTCTCATTAAACTGGCTTTAATGCTTAGCTAGCTGCTCCTGAATGCTTAGCTAGCTGCTAATAGGATATATAGAGTCACTTTTACAATAACATTTAGTCTTTGACTGCAATTCTGCAATACTACATCATGTGTCAAAGTAGTACACTAACATAGAGCTTATTTTGCATTATTTAATAAGCTACTATGCCATTTAAGACACAGTTAAAGGAGCAATAGTCTGTTTTTTTAGTCCTTATTTGTACAAATAACCTGGAAAATATGTCGAACATGAACATAAACTATACGATGGGTTAAGCCGTGGCCTCAGGAAAATTAAGTCGCTGATTAAACCCATTTGGAAAGCTGACTTCCGGTCCAGAAGGCTCGTTTGTGTTTGGATCCGCCTCCTGTCAGTCACTTTATACAAACTGTACGGGCCACCTAAGAGCCTGGGGGCGGAGCTTCGTCAACATGGGCAGAAATCATTCAAATGTCAAAGCCACCTACCTGTTAGACACCTAAAGCTCCATCCTGAAACACATGAAATAGATTTATTAGGGCTGCACAATATATATCGAAATATGGAAATATGGCGATATGCATATCGAAAAGGCTCGAGATAACTGAATGATTTTAATCATTAATAACTTCAAAAAGTTATGAAAAGTCAAAGTTTTAGGGTGACGCAGATAGCAGAGAATGCTTTCTTTTCCTGAAAAGAACATGAACCGTATGTTGGTTATGTCATTTTCAGTTTTTAAATATATACATGTATATATGTAAATATAATTTAAATAGATTTTACACACTTAAAGCATTATCGTATTTAACAACTTATCGAATATCGCATTATTCTTCAATATCATGCAGCCCTAGTATTTATACTGAAATATTTGTGATGTGTTTACTGATCGTGGTGTTGATTTGTTGCTTGGTGCTGTATTTCTGTTATTCTGGCGAGGAGTTAGTGGTTGTGTGCTGCGCTGACGTCACAGGAGGGACATTACTGGATCAGTTACAGTGCTGTTTTACAGGAGAAAGAAAATCTCAATCATTAGTCAGGTTTTACTGTTGGCACATAAAAGCAAAAAGAGCAAGAGCTTTTCTCACTCACCATATTAGTCAGAAATCCAGCGTAGAAGTAGTGGAGAGGGCAAACGCTGACGTCCCACAATGCAATGCAGCTATATGACGCACTTGCATTTACGGCAGAGATTAGCACTCTACGAGATCAGGTCTAAAGCGCTGCTGCACTGACACCCCCCACCCCGTGTGCTTGAGAAACAAAGTGCGGTGAAAAAGCATGGACTTCAAGTCAATTAAAACTTTATTTATAAAGTGCTTTTACCAGTGGACAGCAGCTTTACAGAAAAACAGATATGGATTTAGACTTAGATCTCTAAATGTTGATTCGACGTCACTTGCTGAACTGGGGGTTGAGGAGACCGTCCCGAGTTTCCGAGTAGGAATTCCGATTTCCGATGGTTTTTCCTAGTCGGCCTTTAGTCGAATGCAGCAGTATTTCTTGGCCCTTAAGAACTCCAGGCTGTTTCAGCTTCCAGCCTGCACATCTGTGAGCAGTTGAAGTGTCAGCTCTGAAAGTAGAAGTCCAGAAATCACTCACATGGACGACACATGCTACTTTTACTTCATACCTATCTGTAATAGTCATTTTTAACATTCTGGGTTTGCTTCTTTCTCTCTTCCATTCGTTTTCTCATACAGACTGCAGCTCTTTACACTGAAGATGGACACAGGAGAGGAGAGGTGGCCGAGCCCAGGCGGCTGAGCTGGCACTGAGCTCAGGAAGAATGCATTTGTCTTCATTTGGCACAAACAGACGTTGCTTCCTGGCCTCTTCGGCCCTCTGTGCCATCGTGCTGCTGCTGATCCCAACTCTCCAAACGCCACAGCGGCAGGGCGAGCTGCCCCGACCTCTGCCCCAAACCAGGCCTGCCAGAGGACAAAACACCACTGGCTACAAAGGTGCTAGTAAGGCTAAGCACAGCAGAGTCATTGGGCTACCCTTTCCTAGTGACAAATCCCAGAGGGACTCTGTAGGCGCTGACTTCCTCAGCTCACACTCCAAGGAGCCTCTGGGACTGAAAGACATTTTTATTGCAGTTAAAACCACCAGGAAGTACCACAAATCACGCCTGGAGCTGCTTTTTCAGACCTGGGTGTCAAAAGCCAAGGAGCAGGTAGGGCATACTCTCAACTAACAGTTTAGATGTGGAAGTATTGGACTGCTGTTACTGCAAAACCTAGATGTGAAGTCTGCAGTGTGTGACATTCCATTTCCATGAGCTGTTAGGAGCTGAGAGTAGGAGCGGAGTTTATTTGGTTTCTAGATTGGAACATTTTTTTTTTCATGCATGCCTTCACTGATTTGCTCTCGTGAGCTACACACTGGGATTTCTCCACACGTGCTGTTGTTCATTTGAATTAATAAAATGACTTAACTTGAGCTGGGGCTGTGGGACAGGAGCAGGATGAGTACAGCAGTTTTAAAGGTGTAGCTAGTGAGGGCCAGAAGGGGCGGACAGGCAGCTGTCCTTTGGCAGCATGCTTGGTGGGGAGTTATTGAAAAATAAGTTGGGAGGGATGTTTGGGGTGAAAAAGCACTGTGTTTGCGTTCGTGCAAAATTTATTGTGGACCAAAACACCGGCTGGGGCACTTCTCTTCCTGAGCGAGGTTTGCAGTAGGGCCAAACACGTCATTCATAAACAAAGAATCAAGTGATATAAATGAGAACTCCAAAGAATCAGTCAGTCCTTAGTTAGTGAACTGTTTTGGCAAAGAAAAGTCAAAATGTCTACCTTGGCTGTACGCAAACATTTAC